CGAGCCTGAGGTAATCCAGACTGCCACATGGGAAAGCCATCTGGGAGGGTCTTTTGAAAGAAACAGATGAAAAAGGAAGAGATTCTTTCGAAGGCAGTGTAAAATTTACATTATCCTCCATGAACGTCCATGTCGTCCCCGTGTTTATACAATTCATCACCGTGTCCTCAGGCAATGTCGATTAAGAAGCCCAATGAGCTCATGCCCTTTTTTCCCCGTTTCTGAGTCTGAACTCCCCTTTCGAGGGCAGATCTGGAGCAGGGTCTGTGAGGCAGCTGACCGGTCAGTGAAGACCAACCCGGCCCAGCTGTGGCTTCTTGGATATCCCGGATGGCCTTGGGAAGACATTTTATTATTTCACTTTTATCGTTGTGTTGCTGCCCAATTTGCAATCAGTTTCAGCAATCTCCACCTGTGACTGACTTGTTTCTGTCTCCCTACTTTTGAATATGTCATTCATCTCTTCTGTAGGATCTTCCTATCTCTCCCCTAATTAGTCTCCATTTTCCCTTTGTAACTAAACAACAAGATCAAAACTCTCCCGGGAATCATCCCCATGTGGCTTTTTGTATCCCCCACGCACCTCATCAACGTTGATAATCTGTGTTTCAAATGTTCACACCTCGTGTCGTGTGTGTTTGCTGAGCACTCTCATCCCTGCTGCACATTGCAATCACTGGGCGAGTTCATAAAAAACAATGACGCCGGAGTCCGACCCAATAATCAGAACCACGGCAGGGTGGGGCCGTTGGTGTGTTTAACAACTTGCTCTCCAGGAATAAAAAGTCCTGATTTGTAGCATTTATCAATTTCCATGGTACAAATATTTCCAATGTAGTGGATTTCAAGCTACCAACTTGTCGTTGCGGAATGTAGAACATGGAAGAGAGGCTCACAATTGGTTCCAGCACACACCGCACACCACATGAGGTGTATATACCACTTATATGGTGACATGTAAAATGTATATGGTATATACATGGTGATATATATATACCATATACACACACCCATAGGCCCTCTTACTGTGGTTTTGCTTTCTGTGGTTTCAGTTACCTGCAGTCAAACTAGGCCCTAATATAGTAAATGGAAAATTTCAGAAATAAACTTAAGTTTTAAATTGCGTGCTGCTCTGAGAGCGTGATGAAATCTCGTGCTGTCCTACTCCATCCTGCCTGGGACGTGAATCATCCCTTTGTCCAAAATATCCTCTCCTTCTTTCCCTGCTTAGTCACTTAGTAGCCATCAAGATTATTGAAATGGTTATTTTATTATAATATCCTATACTAGAGGCCTGGTGCACGAAATTTGTGCACTCGGGGGGGTGGGATCCTTCAGCCCAGATTGCAAGAGGGTGCAGGCCAGGCTGAGGGAACCTACCGGTGCATGACCAGGGCCAGAGAGGGACGTGGGAGGTTGGCCAGCTGAGGAAGGACCACGGGAGGGTTCCAGGGCGTGTCCAGCCCTTCTTGCTCAGTCCCAATCGGCTGGACCCCAGCAGCAAGCTAATTTACCAGTCGGAGCATCTGTCCCCTGGTGTTCAGTGCACGTCATAGTGACTGGTCGACTGTCTGCCCTCTGGTGGTCAGTGCACATCATAGTGAGCAGTTGAGCGGCCTTAGCATATCATTAGCATATTATGCTTTGATTGGTTGAATAGACGACTGGACACTTAGCATATTAGGCTTTTATTATATAGGATAATAAAAGGGTAATATGCAAATCAACTGAACGGTGGAACGAACGGTTGCCATGATGCATACTGACCACCAGGAGGCAGTCGCTCAACGCAGGAGCTGCTGCCCCCTGGTGGTCAGTGTGCTCCCACAGGGGGAGTGCCACTCAGCCAGAAGCCCTGAGCTGGGCTCATGGCCGGTGAACGCAGCAGCAGTGGCAGGAGCCTCTCCCACCTCTGCGGCAGTCAACTGGACATCTCCTAAGGGCTCCAGGGCCCGGATGAGGGACCTCCCCCCCGCAGGGCACAAATCTCGTGCACCGGGCCTCTAGTATTGTTATAATTGTGTATTTATCATTCATTAATCTCTTACTGTGCCTAATTTATACATTAAACTTTATCATAGGTATCTGTGTGTGTGTGTGTGTGTGTGTGTGTGTGTGTA